TTTTGAATTGAATGATAGTTTACATGGGAGAACATTGGTTTTACATTCATCATTTCATTGCAATGATTACAGTCCCTTCTGTGCATCATCATTCAACAGCATTTGCTGCTATTTCCTCTGTTGTTGTTTTTCTTTTTGGTGGTGGTTGTTGGAGATATACACCCAAACACTCAGAAATACATAATAATTTAAACAAAGGACATATTCGGTAAGCCTCCCTCCTGGCCACCAGCATTCAGTCTTTCTCTTTCCCACACGTTACTTCTTGTCGTCGCTACAGACATGGTAATGTTGCTGCTGCTACGTGCTGATGACCCTGTATAGGATTTCCAAGGAGTTCTTATGTGGCATTGCAGGATAATGCACTGAACCGCAAGGTCAGTTTGACCATACGTGGTCTGCAGTTCAAACTTAACTAGCTGCTCCTTAGAAACCCTATACAGGGTCACTATGGATCAGAACCAACTCGATGGCACTCAAAAATAGCAATACTGTTTCAATACTCCTTATGGGAGTAGAAAGCCTCATCTTTCTCCCAAAAAGCAGCTGATGGATTTGAACTGCTGACCTTGCGATTAGCTGCCCAATATTTAGCCCACTACACTAGCAGGGCTCCTTACAGAACATGGTAATAGCTAACATTTATCGAGTTCTTATGATGTGCTGGGCAGTTTACGTATATTGTCTGATGTGATATTTTTATTATTTTTTAAAAATGTTTTATTGTGAACTATGTGATAGTTTACATGGGAAAACATTAGTTTTACATTCATCCTATCGTGTATCGTTTCATTGCCATGGTTACAATCCCCTCCATGCATCATCAACCAACCAAAAATACAACAATGTAGGCAGACTGACTGATTACTATAAGAACAAGCATATAGTTTTTAATTTTTAGTGTGTCCCACTCATTTATTTTGTCTACTTTTGTTTGTGTAGTTTTAAAAATGTTTGGTAGTCTGTGTATTCCTTAAATTAGTGCCCTCACATTTGTCCCGGTTTTTTCACTGATGCCCTTCATAATTCTGGGATTCACATTTAGGTCTTTAATTCAGGTTAAGTTGGTTTTTGTATAAGGTGTGAGGTGAAGATCTTGTTTCAATCTTTAGCAAATCGTTTTCCAGTTCTGCCAGCACCATCTGTTGAAGAGACTATCACTTCCCCATGTGATATATTTAGGTGTTTTGTCAAAAATCAGTTGGCTGTA